CACACACACACACACACACACACACACACATACACACACACACATACACACACACATACACAAAAAAAGGATCAGGTACGCTTGCAATTGCACGCGCTCAGCGCACTGCACCTGTGTGCCTGATGAGCACGGTGCGCGCCCATGGCCCACATGTCCATCGTGCTCGGCGCACCGCAGCTTATGTCTTCTGTTGTTGTCACTCCGTTACAGTGAAAAGTGGATCTTGCGTGATGTTGTCCCTCAAGACCCCCCGGGACTTAGATGGGGCCTGTCGCATACTGTAACGGTACAGACCAGAACAAGAACCGACCTCTCTCACATAGTACAAGATAGCACAGCGGAAGGCTTAAATACCAATGATCCGAACAATCAATGTTGCAATGCAGACCAGACATACATCATCATCATTCCATGGTGTGAAGGGGCCTGGCGCTCACACAGGAAGAATGCGCCAGTCCCCAACCATACACAGACGAAGAAGAGGGGGGTTAGACGAAGAAGAGGGGAAGATGGGAATGTCGTCAACACCAAGTCTTCGGTACAGGTCCCAAACAATCCCTCGTCAAATGTCTGAATCCCAATGTCGAGTCTGGATCCAAATGTCGTCAAGTCCCAAAGTCACCAATCTCTCTCTCTCGTAGTCTGCAGATACTGAGAAGTCAGGTAGCGAGAGGGTGAGGAAGAGATGTTGGACTTAGAAGAGGAAGAAGAAGAACTCTTTCTCTCTCTCTCTCTCTCTCAGTCCAGTACTAACCTGTGAAGGTGGCGCCTTGTTGCAGGTACATCGAAGACGAAGCTGGAGCTATGGCGCCACAGGTAAGTCTCCCTGGCCTCCGCCAACCATCTCTCTCTCTCTCCAATGCTACTCTAGCTCCTCCTAGCGCCCAGCACTGAAGACTACTGCTAACGCTACTACTACTCCTGCAGTGCTCCTCCAGAGTGTTGCCGCCGAATCCTGAAGACTGCCTCCTGCCTCCTGCACATGAAGTGCCTGGGAAGTTCCTATGAACTACCTCGTGACTGCCTGCAGCCTGCAGGGCGGAGCAGTCTTATATAGTGCTGGCCCGTCCAGGAGGCTGCTCTTGCCAATGCCAAAACGTGCCAGACCCTGGTGTTGAAGTTCAAACAAGGGTGGTCTTGAAAACAGGCCAAAAGTGGCCTGTGCTAAAACCCTGGTCTGGTGCCTAAGTTTCAGGGAGGTCGATCTTATGAGGGCCTGAAAATGGCCCTCCGTTTCAGGCTGAAAAGACTCAGGGCCTGGAGGGCCCTGTTTTAGGCTGAAACGACATAGGGCCTGTAGGTCTTCGTTTTCAGGCTTTCAGGCTTAAAACAGCACAGGGCCTGTAGGCCTTTGTTTTCAGGCTTTTAGGCTGAAAACGACACAGGGCCTGTAGGCCCTTGCTTTCAGGCTTTTAGGCTGAGAACGCTGGTCGGGCCCTGCAGGCCCGTGTGGCTGCGCAGTATGCCACAGGCCCAGTGGGGCGGCCCCACTGGTAGCACGGCCCGTACAAAGAGGATTAGAATGGCTCCTGCACAATCATGCGGTGCACAAGTTGCGAAAACCGTGTGGCAGAAAATATTTCTGGCGTGTCCTGTGCTTCGATACAGAGAGGACCAGGATTTGGCAGGATATTCATTTGAAAGTTTGAGGTGCACGTCACATAGAACATTTGGCACAAAATAGTTAGCAGACGCCATAAGATGCTGTCATATAAGACTCCGTGGGACTTCAATGGGACCAGGTGGCAGCCCACAGTTGGACAGTGTTATTCGGTGTCCCTAGATATCCAAAAAAGAGAAGAAAATGGGTGAATAAATTCTACCTACCTATTATAGCTGCAAGGAAAATGAGTAATGTGATGTACAGAAACCAAATAAGCATCATCCATTGAAAGCCAAAAAGTCGTGTGCTCGAACAGAAAGCAGAATGCATCAAGATATACACCAAATGAGAGCAAAGCCACCCCCCGCCACCCCACCCTACCCCCACCCCACCCCCACCCCCTGCAACCAGCCACCCCCCACCCTGCTTGCTGGAGAGATGGTGGAGGAGAGATGGTGGAGGAGAGATGGTGGAGGAGAGATGGGGGAGGAGAGACGGAGGAAGAGAGGTGGGGGAGGAGAGTG